TTAGGAGGACAGTCAGAGATTTAAGGCCTCTGTGATGGGCAGCTGCATGGGGATGCAAGGATTGGATGTTCCTGAGCCATCAGTAGAGCTGTGTCTCTCTGCCCCTCTGAGAAGGAGAAGATATACACAACTGGGCTGAGGGAGTATATGCACAGCGTGCGAGGAGTCAGCCAGAGCAGCTCCACAGCGGTTTCAATCCCATGATAAGGAATTCTCCTAATCCCTGATGCCATATCAAACCTTGTCCATCCAGGGGGCAACGTTAAAAATGTTAAGCAGTTACTAGATCAAAACAGGATCCTGATGGCACATTAGGACAACGGCATAGAAATGCCAACACGAATGACAAACTTCACCCAGGCCACTAAACACAAACAATCAGCCTGCCAAAAGGAGGTAAGAAAAGGTGTTCGCAGGCATTGTCAGTTCCCTGGCTTTGTAGCCTAGTAAGGGACCTGCTGAAAAAGCTTAAACCCCAACCCATTCTGTTCCATTAACAGCTGTGCCTTCTCTGAGGGACTACAACGCTGGCCGACACGTCCACAACTGAGATGCAATATCATTAATTACAGAGGTATCACTTGTAGCTCCCATAGGCAAACCTGATGTTCTACGTTGCAGTCCATGTGCATGTTGGACTGGAAAAACAAACTATATTATCCCCAAACTTAAAGCATTACCTCTCTGAGTAAAAGATCATGATAAGAAATCACCATTGGGAAACTGAGGCAGTATGGGCTGGATGAGGGGACAGTGAGGTGGATTGAGAACTGGCTGTGTGACAGGACCCAAAGGGTAATTATTAATGGAGCAGGTTCAAGTTGGAAGCCTGTAACCAGTGGAGTCCCCCAGGGGTCAATACTTGGACCCGTGCTGTTTAATATATTCATCAGTGACCTGGACGAGGGGACAGAGTGTATCCTCAGCAAGTTTGCTGATGATACCAAACTGGGAGGAGTGGCTGACACCCCGGAGGGCTGTGCTGCCATCCAGCGAGACTTGGACAGGCTGGAGGGCTGGGCAAAGAAGAACCTCATGAGGTTCAACAGGGAAAAGTGTAGAGTCCTGCACCTGGGGAAGAAGAATGTCAGGCACCAATACAGGTTAGGGGTGGACCCGCTAGAGGCAACTACTGAAGAGAAAGATCTAGGGGTCCTGGTGGACAGTAAAATGGCAATGAGTAAACAGTGTGCTCTTGCGGCCAGGAAGGCCAATGGTATCTTGGGTTGTATAGGGAAGAGTGTAGCCAGCAGGTCAAGGGAAGTCATTCTCCCCCTCTACTCTGCACTGGTGAGGCCACAACTGGAGTACTGTGTCCAGTTCTGGGCTCCCCAGTTCAAGAGGGACAGGGAACTACTAGAAAGAGTCCAGCGTAGGGCTACAAAGATGATTCAGGGATTGGAGCATCTCCCTTATGAGGAGAGACTGAGAGAGCTGGGACTCTTTAGTCTGGAGAAGAGAAGGCTGAGGGGAGACCTTATCAACGCCTACAAGTATCTCAAGGGAGGGTTGAAGGAGGAGGGAGCCAGACTCTTTTCAGTGGTTCCCACCGAGAGGACGAGGGGCAACGGGCACAAGTTGGAACATAAGAGGTTCCACTCAAATATGAGGAGAAACTTCTTCACGGTGAGGGTGACGGAACCCTGGAACAGGCTGCCCAGGGAGGTTGTGGAGTCCCCTTCTTTGGAGATTTTCAAAACCCGCCTGGATGCAGTCCTGAGTAACATGCTCTAGCTCTAGGCAATCCTGCTTCAGCAGGGGAGTTGGACTAGATGATCTCTATGGTCCCTTCCAACTCTAGAAATTCAGTGAAATTCAGTGAAATTCAGAATCATGAAAAGACATGATAAGAAATCACCAGACATTTGCTAACTATTTCCTGGTACAAGAGTCAGACTGCTTAATCTTAATTTGGATCAGTGGCCAACCCCATTTTGCATTAATCTCTCAAAACTGGACATAGAGGCAGAAGCTTTGCTCTGCCTAGGAATTAAAAGAAGCTGAGCCTATATCCCCTTCACACAATATTGTTCATATTGGCCCAGTTTACTGACAAAACCCCACAGTGAGCCTATTTTCCTGGAAAGAACTACACTTTGACCAGTTTTTACTGGACAGCGAACTTCTAGTTGATGGTTGAGCCACAGGCTGAGTGTTTCCAACCTCTGCTACTCCTGCCTGAATCATGAAAAAAAAGAGATTCCTTTAAAAAGCCACAGGCTCTTCACAGTCTTGAGAAGAGAAAACCATCACAGAGCTTCAACTGCTGTCACTTCTGAACCATCACAACGTGTCTAAGACCAGCATTTGCAAGAAGCTCCCAAACCAAGATGGCACATTGGTCCTGAAGTGCTGCTTTTTTCCCCAACATCCAAGGGAAGGAACATTTTGAACACATTCTCACTTTGCCATTCTCACTTCTGGGTCTACAGCCAGCTCTCTCGTTTACTTTTTCATTGCTCAAAGACCTGGTCATAAGGCTTACCCAGACAGGAATTATTTTTTTTCTTTGCCATTGTTAATGGATAACTCTGTCATGGTAGTTAGAAAGGCATATGTGGTATGAGTCAGCAAGAGAAGGTAACACGTATGGAGAACCTGGAAATTCTTCCTTGTTCCTTTCTGCCTATCTTCTGAAGAGCCTGGTTTTGGTTTTGGTTAGCCAAGTATCAGGTGCTGCCTCAGAGAAACAACCAGTTGGGCTGAGGCATAATTTGTCCCATAAGACAGGGGTTCACTGCTCTGCTTGCTGCTCGTGGGGACAGCTCAGAGATGGCAGCCAGTGAAGGCAGCAAGACAACAACTCCAAGGTGAAAGGGGCTGAGGGGAGAAATTGAGCATCATTGAGCCCCCCCATACCTCACTGTCCATTTTGATTATAAATTCGGCTTTAAAATGTAACTTATCGTTAGACCCCTGAAATACAATGAATTTTGTCAGCTCCTACAGCCAGTGTTCTCAAAGTGTGCAAGTGATGATTTTTAATCGAGTAGAGGCTGAGCATGTATGTAGGGAGCACATGTAACAGAGATGCTGTAATGATCTCAGAAAATTATAAACTTAAATGCTGTTTAGATCTGCATACTAATGAAGAGATGCCTATATAGGCTTCTAGACAACTCAGTTTAAAAGAAATCAAAAAATGTCAATTTCTTGCAGTGCAGAGTTTCGTTATCCAATTACACAAAGTACTACGCATCTCATCATAATTAAAGCATTTTTGTCATTTATCTCATATAGATTTTTTTCTAACTTTAACCCCAACTCTTTTTGCTTTATGGTAATTCTCCTGGGAGTAATTACTAAATTTCACAGCAGTAATTTGGGTAGCATAAGAGCATGCAACCTCAGCCTCACTCCCTCCATCAAAATGAAGATTTTGCCTAGAAATGTACTTTTCCCCCTTCACATTACTTAAAATACGACACATGATCAATAACATGAAACTGCAGAAAACTTTCTCATATGATAATTCTATTGATTTTAAAAAGAAATAATTAAACTAACTGTTAAGACCAAGTTCATCAATACAATCTAACTCCTTTGTTCCCTCCCTCTGGAGTAGGACAAATCCATGGGGGTCTCCTGGTTGGCATACCCGGTTTCCTGGGGCTACTGCACCACTCTGACAACATACTGAATAGCCATTTTATACCCCGTTGTTCTCTCCTTTCACTCACATCCCCACAGCTCCAAATCACACCTTTGTCCTGAATCTTCTCTATTGCATTGTGCATTCCCCAAAACCTCCATCGCCATTCTCCTTTACGTGCTCCTTCAGTTTGCTTCTTCCTACACCATCAGGTCCCTTCGCAAAATAATGAATGCAATTTTAGGGAAGACATATTGTATTTTTCACAGATAACAGAGATAGAATGCCAAATTGCGTGAAACGCCAAATTTCTTCCCACTTTGATGACAGAAGCGTGTCTGCAAATTAGCACCTCTGCTCAGACTGTACTTTTAACAACAGGAATTTACTACTGACTAGTTCTCTGCAAGGCAAAGCAGGTCCCTGCTAGAATGTGAAATGGGAAAGGCAAGAAAAGCCTCCCGGGCTTCCTCTGAAAGCAAAGCAGCTTTCACACAGGGGTGGCTGCCTCTCATTTGAAAATTTTCTCTCCTACTCTGACGCCCCTTGAGACCCAGGCCATATTTGCAATAAAATCTCTCCCCAGGTGAACTTGCAGACACCTCGATTTCCCTTTCGCTTCCAGCGATGCCACCAACGCCCTCCCCAAGCTGCTGCCACCGAGATCTGCTCCTGCACCCAAGTGGTTGGAGAGAGGAATCTCTTCCGCAGCAGAGGTGGACCGTAAATCCAGCAGGACGGGACAGGCCATTCAGGAGGTACACCACAGGTACGGCCACCCAGAGAAGGGATTCTTTATAGAGTTTCTTGATGAAGGTTGTGTAAAATGTTCATGGATTTGGTTTTATTCAAGGGACGCTGCAGCATGTGTGTAGGTCCCAGGTGATACTCTGGTTATCCACCTTGGCAACAAGCGAGAAAAAGCCTTCAAAAATTTAGGTTGATAAGACTCAAATTTAATACGTTCTGCAAAACGCGCTCCTCTTACATGGAACAACAGGCTCAAACATTAGCAGCAGTTTATGCTGAAGAAACAGCTAAACACTGTGGAGGAATTACAGCATATGGAGCAACGCACAGCCTCAATCAGACACACTTAGCACGGTGGGGCACCACAGCCCCAGCAGATCCATTACTCCCCACTCAGCAGAGTCACAAACACTTCTTTACTGGCAGAAACATTAATCCACAACATTCCTGAGATCTACTGGTGTTCTCACGTTGCAGGATTTTCCTAAGAGGAGTAGGAATTAGTGTGTGTCTCCATTTGACAATGTTTTTTCAAGTCCAACATAGGGTTACAGATAATTTATAAATCTCCCTGAAAAATAATGTTCTTCTGGAGGTGCTTATATCTATTCAACAGCCATACAACTTGACGGCCTGAGAAATGACTTTCTACAAATAGTTTTATTTTAAAAATAACTTTTTAATATGTATTTCAAAGGCTTATTTACAGTAATTACAATTATTAACTCTGTTAGGTACACGGGCAAATGTGCAGATCAGCACACACATGTAGCTTTCAAGTTAATGGTATTTTAAGCTGTTTATATAGTTCCAAAATCCAAGATTTGCCCCAGTTGACATAGCTCTAACAGGTGTAATTGGAACAACAAACGCGTTACAGATCAGAACAACATCAAAGGTATTCATCAGTTCTGTGTCCACACTTAATAAGCCTTCCTTCTAACAATTCACACTGTATGTATCACTGTAACACATGAGCATCTAACAAGTGCTTCCGTCAAAGATTAGCACATTCTCTTAACTAGGTGAAAGTTAATACACTACACCCCGTAAAAACATCTACTTTTCATCATGTTTAAAAAATAAAACTACAGTATGTCTTGGCTGTCTTTCAACTACCAAATTCGAACTCCAGTACATGCACCCAGCTCCCATTAAAAGCAGTGAGAGATACAAGACACTGTCCATTTGGCCTTTGCTAAGTGAAAGGAAACACAGAAAAGAAAAAAAAAGAAGAAAAAAAAAAAAGGAGATTTTGCTAGAGGTTACACAGCAACAGAGCCAGAGGTTGAATTCAGGAACCCCTCTGACTATCTCCCCCACATAATTCCAACTACATGCATTGTGGGGAATTAGGGCAAACTGGGGGAGAGGCAGTGACATTGATTAGAAAGCAAAATAGATTAGGAAGTAGTATATAGACATTATAGTGGGTCAAAGATATATAATGTAGCAAGAGATAAGAAAAAGAAAAGAAAAATTGAGAATAACAGACAAAAAATACTGAAAGCTACCATCAGAAAGGAAGTAAGATGATGTGATACAACAGCAAACACAAATAACAGGAGATGCACCAATAAGACGCATTTTTCAGCCATGTTAACTGTCTGCTTGTCAAAATATTTTCAGTAAATACACATATGCCATGTTTGCCTCTCGTAGGTGTATTTCCTGCTGCATACAATGGCCTAGGTAGTAGGCTGATGTTGAGGGAAGCCAACTCTTCTCTTTACTCCTCATCCATTGTAGCCCCTAATCACATTTACAGCTGCCTCAAAAATATTATCACAGAGCATTAGTTACTGACTGCACTTGGCAAAACCCAAAAAGCAGCTGTGATCATGCCCCCAGTGTCTTGAAAAGGAGAATGACTTTAAATTCCATACAAAAGCTGTATAAGGACTTGAAACTCATCATAGGGTAGACTCTTCAAAAATGTGCTGTTGAAGCTGTTGGCATAAATCAGAAAAGTGCTGTGACTGTCCCAGAATTGGACACCTCACATGTGGGTGACAACCAGCAGCTCGCCAGTGGAGTCCAGCACAGCCAACATGGCCCTGCTTCCCAGCATAGAGGTGGGCTCAGAACAGGAGACTGGAATGGACATTTAGGACAACAAGAAGGAAATGTGGAATACAACAAAAACGAGTATGTCCAACCTTCTGAGCTCTGTCTGTCCTTTCTTACCAAACACTCCAATAAGCTGAAAAATCAGATGAGATGTTTTTCCCTGTGGTTGGCCCATTTTACATATGCCTAAAGACCAACTACATCCTTATCCTTAAAGCATTCTCCACAGGCTTCAGAAAAAAAAACTATCTCCTAGCCAAACCCATTTTCCTGACTACCAAACCCCCTTCCTCCAGGGATCTGTAAAAATCAAAGCTGTCTGACACACTTTATTCCTCCAAAACAGCATTTATCAAAGCTTCATTTTAAAATCTGACGGTTGTGAAACTACTGCTAAAGCGGAAAAAAACGGGGCCCTGGTCTCAGTAGTTGCACCTATGCATCTGGAGAGGGACCAGGCAGAAGTTCTGCTGGTGGCACTGACAAAATTCATCCCTCCGAGGGCACTAGAACAGATGGACTCACAAAGCAGATGGATGAATCCACCCCCATGTCCTACAACAGCTCAACATCAGCACTAATCGAATCAGAAGCAAAATGCACACAGAAGAAGTTGCTTTGCTTTTTCATCCCTCAGCACCCAAGCCTTTTGCATTCCACTTCCCAGCCCCAGTCTTGGAAACAATCATTAGCTCTCCATGCCCTCCACCACTTTACACCTACAGCTGGCTACAGGGACCTGCATCCCTGGAGGGCTGCGTCTCCCCAGGAGGATGCAAAAGGCAGAGAAGAGGCATCATGAGTTGCGGCCACAGATCTGCTCGATGTGGTAGACCTCCTTGGGACAGTCAGCAGACAAGATGAGAGGCGCATCCTCTGTTATCACAACGTCATCCTCAATGCGCACACCAATGCCACGAAACCTCTCCGGGGCACTCACATCATCCTCAGGGATATAAATGCCTGAAAGAAGGAAGGGAATTAAAACACACAACACTCTCCAGAACAACACCTTTCCCTTGCTGCATCACCATGACAGCAGGGTTGGATTTTCAGCAACAGAACATGAGTTTGATCCTGAAAATTTTTAATAAGGAAAGCTACTCTCTTTCCCCTCATTCATGGCAGTTGGCGGGCAAAGAAAGGAAAGTGTCCCCTAGTGCCTGCAGACACTAGCATGTTAATAAAAACTTCCACAATTATAGCTGGTATTTCTGCACTTCTTGCTCTCAATGCTATGTTCACAATGACGATTTTAACAATGCCTGAATAGAGAGAGAGAGGAGCCAAGCATTAAAAATCAGTTTCCAGCTGACAGCTCCAAATCCAGTGACAAGCAGATAGAAAGATTCATCGTGAAATGCCTAATTTGCAAAGCTAAGTTGTCAATGCCTGTAATTGCAGACTGCAATGCTTGAGACTTACACCACCAGTGACTGGTAGTAGTTTAGTTGCGGTAACACAGAACACAGTACAAGTGAATTTGGCCTCTCTGCACTGCAATTGACCTGTGCTGCTGTGGGTCAAACAGCAGGGGGGCTGAGGTCTATATTACTCCACTAAACAGCAGGGTCTGAGGTCTATACTATTCTGGCTTCTGTGGCACAGACACTTTCTGAGAGTTGACTCCCACAATTTGTTACCTTGACTCTGGGAGGGAAATAAGGTTTTCTAATACTGTAATCATTTTCAGTTTCACCAGAAAGGACCTGAATGCTTTGTTCTTAGTGATCAACTAATTACTCAAAGCAATACTGTTATCCTCAGTGTTGGCCTGTTTTTCTCCACCACTGACTGCATGGCTTTTTACCTGGTTCAATGGTTATCACCATGCCTGGCTGGAGTGGGAGCGATCGGGAAATATCTGGGGTATCATGAACATCCATGCCCAAGTAATGGCCCACATGATGTGGGCAGTACTTTCGAACAGCCTAGCAGAAGACAAAACAAGTGTCAGAGAGGCAGTTAAACACAGCCCAACCTATCATTCCAATACAAAAGATGAGGAGAAGAGACAGAATAGTTATGTAGTTTACTAGCAATCTTAACTGCCAAGTCACCAGGGGCTGTCTTCCATTTACCAGAACTGGATGGCCCTCAAAACCCACCCGTACCAGGTGTGTAATATGCGCATACTGCAGACTTTCTCCCTCGCTGAGAAGAACAGCCCAAGTCCACCACCACCTCAGCTTGTCAGGCAAGACTTCAGTTTTCGGCTCACTGAGCTTTGCTGCCCCAACCCTTTCCATCCCTTAAACGTCCAAGCCCTGCGTTGCTCCCATCAGCAGATCCTGACAACCAGCAGCAGCTGATACAGCCGTTACGTGATGTGGCAAAGAGGTCTCCTGTGCACGACAGAGCGAACGCTGTGCCAATTTCGCTCAGCAGCTACAGCAGGATTTTAATCCACCTCTGCAGGGCACTGACACCGCCTTCCCCCGCATCATCCTAATCCCCCTCCCTCCCGAGAGAAGCTCCTTGACAGCAGGAATCAAAGAGCTAATTCCTCCTCTGCCCCACGCTCCTGCCATGAGCTGCAGAGTGAGGCTGGTCTCATCTGGCTGTGCTGACACCTGCCGGCACGACAGCCTCCCTCCACAGGCAAGGACCCGGGCTGTTCCTCAACTGACACTGTAGGACAAGCAGAAATCTGTCCTGCTGCCCAAGGGGTACTTCTGTCACCTGGTTCCACCGTCTTTCTTGTATTAGCATCAGCAATCATGCAGGTTTTCAGTGAGTGGGACCGGATAATCTTCTCCAACTGCAAACCAATCCTATTTTACCTGCAGGTTCAGCTCTAAGGGAACCAGTTTCCCAGCCTTGTTCAACCAGGTAGCTCTGCAAATCCCAATACTGACACAAAATGGTGCAGAAGCGGCAGCAGGTGGAATGACTGAGAAGAATGGGCTGCACGTTTTGGTGACACTGCAGATTTATGCTATGTGAAACAGATCACAAAACTATGACTAATCGCCGGCAGCCAGCCCTGGACCCAAAATTTTGTGTTAGTGCCAACATCTCAATAGGTCCCTTCAAACTGACTGTACTCTAAAGGTGCAACTATGAGTAGTACAGACCAATGGGGAGGGATCTGCAGAAACAGCAAGTGCTAAGGAACAAATATTCACATTATGTGTATATAAGACTGGGGGGTTACCTCAAACCAAATTGTGTGCTGAATGGCTGAAACACATCTTCAAAGATGTTTAGCCTCGTGAGAGAAATCCAGTCCTGTGCTGAGACCAGCCCATGACATGAATTAAAGCATAGTGAGTGGGGACAACTAGAAGATTCATCTCAAAAGCACATTCCTGGGCCAAACTAAAGCCACTAACATAACCCAAGGAGAAAACAGTCAGGCCTAGTGGGGGGAAGCTGGAGTAAAAAAAAAATTTTAAGTACCTTGAAGAAGTGGCTGTCAGTGATGCTGCTCTTTAGTATCCCCAACTCTTTCAGTTTCTGTCCAATAAGGCTCAGCATGAGGCTGTAAATATTTTCTAGACTCATGCCTGGGGAGCAGAGGCTCAAGCAGGACTTCTGAATATCCAGGACAGCCTGGTATACTTCTGCTTGGGGTTTGGTGAACCTGAAAACCATTGACAAAAGGAATAAAGAACATTTATCACAATTAAACCTCTACGCAGAACCAGGGTTTGGGACAGATTCAGTTTAATGTTGGAGCAGGGAAAGTCAGAAAGGAAAGCAACTGGGTCCTTATATGAAATGCCAGACAAGCCATGACTGCAACACGCTCTTCAATACACTGGGTAGAAGCAGGGTTTCTCAGCTGCCAACTAAACCTAAAGCAAAGCAAAGCTACTGCAGGAAAAAGAATGCACTTGAGCCAAAACACACAGGAATCAAACACACAACCACAGGGACACCACACCAGCAAATTCGCAACTGACAGAGCCATGTACAGGTCAACTATGCTCCTGTCTTCTGTCAGCCACAGCTGAATGTACAAAAGCTCTCTCTGCACTTGAAGCATGCTATAATAGCTGAAAATAGCAGTAATCACACATATTCATGCAGTAATTAATGAGGCAGTGGGGAATACAGCTTCTCATGCTCAAAGATTAGTTTATATAATTTGATTACTCTGAAGAACCACAGAATGGGACACATTAAAAACCTACTCACAGAGATTAAACACACATACACTCAATTCATCAATTATTTAAGAGCTTCTCAAAGTTCTTCAAAACAGCCTTACAACAGCATACCTTCCATTGACAGGCCAGGTACGCGTGATGTCACTTACGTAGCAGGCAGACTCACATCCACCATCTAGCAAGACCAGTTCACCATCCTAGAGAATAACAGGAAAAAATGCCCTGTGGGTGAGTTGGGCTATTAACTGAATTGATTTTTCTGTCTGAGAGCAGGAAAGGAGATTATGTATTTATTTTTGCAAAGCAGCTACAGAGATGTGAATTCCTTTTGCAGAATAACACCCCAGGTGCTACTGTCTATAAATAGGCTATTCCAGTTGGATTGTTTCTCTGCAAAGTTGTCTCTTGACTGTTGTGCTTATTTAAAGCCTGAACTCTTAACATGCTGATTTTCAAACACTTTGGAGTAAAAAAAAAGACATTTTCCTTTAACTATGTTGTGCTCTGAGACTTCAGTCCCACTCCCACCAACCTGGATTGCTTACTCCAGCAAATTACACCAGTCACTCCTTTCACTAGAAGTTCTCTGCTAGTAACGGAGACAGAAGGGTTTTACAACAGAAACGTAGATTTCTGAGCCACCCCTAAGATGACTAACAGCGAAAGATTTAGCCTTGTCACAAGGTAGGAGGACCCAGCAAAATCACTTCTCTGAAAGTGCATCACTGTTACCAAAGGCAGGCCCCTGCTTTGTTTATAACCATATGCCAACTAAAATGCGTCAATTACCGAGCTTCTTACTGTGTGAGAAAATACTTGGTCTTTGAGCTGATAGTGATAAGGATGGGATAACAAGAAGTAGTTAATCACCTCAAGGTTCTCTCATATGTCAAAATATGTACTCCTATACTAGTTAAGACAGAGTTGTGGCTACTTCAAAGGACATCCTTATCATCCTCAAGTAGTTGGTAAATGTACAGTAAACTTCTACTGTCCTGAGATGACTCAATACCTTCAAAGTATAATGTGAGGAAGGGTATCCTTACCCAAACAACCACCGAGGAGCTCACTCCTGTGCAAAAGTGTTTTGTTGATGCTGCAAAATTTAATATGCATGTGGAAAAGGGCATTCGGTCATCCTAATAAATATGTAAGCTTAGGTGGAGTTATGGATTAGGTAAGCAGAATAATGAGAATCTTTTGTGTATAAATAATGGGTGAATGTCTCTAGTAAGGTGTGATAGACTTGTGGATTTCCACCTAGCACATGATGTTGAATAAAGCAATATCTCCTCTCTAAACTGCTTCTGGTTTTGAGAGCTTTTGTTTCAGGTAACACCACTCCTGTAAACACACTATTGAATAGCTTGTACCATCTTCCCTGTTCTTTTCTGGAACTTTCTTGACTGCTCTAAGATATACTTCTGAATCTACCTGGTGATTAAGAAAAAAACTTTTGGAGATGTGAACCTCCAACTCACTTCAGCAAAACTGTTCTATGTCAATTAAATCACTGTCTGCACATCTTCCAAAAAGCCATGCAAAAAAAAGACACAGGGTCAGCAACAAAATCACTGCCTTGTTTTTCCTCCTTAAAGGGACTAACAACAAATAGAGCAGCAAGATCTGTAGAATCATAGAATCATCCAGGTTGGAAAAGACCCCTGGGATCATCGAGTCCAACCATCTACCCTACTCTGCAAAGTTCTTCCCTACACCATATCCCCCAACACCACATCCAAATGACTCTTAAACTCATCACAGGATGTCGCACCACCCACCCCCCTGGGCAGCCTATTCCAGTGTCTGACCACTCTTTCTGTGAAGAATTTCTTCCTAATGTCCAGGCTAATCCTTCCCTGTTGCAGCTTGAAACCATTCCCTCTTGTTCTATCACTAATTGCTTGTGAGAAGAGACGAGCACCAACCTCTCTACAACGTCCTTTCAAGTAGTTGTAGAGAGTGATGAGGTCACCCCTCAGTCTCTTCTTCCTCAAACTAAACAGTCCCAGCTCCCTCAATCGTTCTTCGTACGATTTATTCTCCAGGCCCTTCACCAACTTCGTTGCCCTCCTCTGCACCTGCTCCAGCACCTCGATATCAAAAGTTTGCATTAAATTTGCTATGGATTTATACTACATGTAATCCAAAGCCTTTTACAGAGATTCACTCCACAGATCCCATGATTGTGCAAACAGCCATGATGCGGAATGACAAGGAATCATTCTAGCACGTTAAGGGCAAAAATAAGAAGCAGAATTTCACTGCTAGCACTAATTCCAGCAGCAACTATCATTGTGTACAGTTAAGTGGCACAAACACTTACATAGTAGATAAAGTAGCAGCGAGCAGATCCCACTCTCCCACTGAACAGACAGGCCATAAACTATCCATTTAAACTGTACTTTTAACTTTTTCAGAACAGCTGGTTCAAATCTTTAAGTAAAATATAAAATTACAGCACCTGCCCTCTTCTGAGCAATTAAACAAGCTAAGTAACAATTTATTGGCTAAGGGAATTCAGCCTGTGGTTTGATTGTCCAGCAAGTGCCTTATGTCATGCAGCTTGTCCTCTTTCTTAAAAGCTCAGTCCAACTAAGCGGTGGACTGAATGAAGTCCACAAGCAGCCTTCAGCTACTTTCCAAATTAGACACTTTGTTAGCCTATTTGGCAACAAGATTTGCAGGAAGTAGTGCACAAAGGAAAATAAAGAGTCAAGTTTACGGGTTTAACCTCCTACTTAACAGTTTTGAAAAAAACAAGTGACAGTCATTTAACTGAACAACTTCAACAGAAGCAACCGGAGTTACATGAGCACGCCTGACCTTGGATGACAGTACAACAAAGGAGGTTTCTTTCTGCCAAAAGCAGCCTGTCATATCTTTTGTATATCTGTCTCTGCAGATCACTTCAAGGTCTGCTAGCACGCTAGCTTCAAGAAAAGACAATGCTAGTGGGAAAGTTTCATCTTGCATTAAGACAGAGGAAAAATATGTTCCTCTGAGAGTGAATTCACAGCAGTGGGGGAATACTGCTCTTGAAAATACTTATCTGAATCTAAAGGTGTAGCATCAGGGAAGACAGAGAGGGTTCAATTCAATAGTTTGAATCTTCAGAATAAGACAAGACACGTTAGTTTACATACAGCCATCTAATCCACGTCTCAACATTTAACACTGATCCTTGTTCCCCTTTCCTGCTTTGCTGGCCCATGTGGAGTCTGAAATGCTTTTCAGCTTTGCCAGAGCAGGAATGCATTACTGCACCTTATGTTGCAAAGCAAGGCAAGTGACAGCAGAAGAGACCCACAGTGCCTTCACCCTGCCTGCTGGAGTGCTCCCTCTCTTTTGTGGGGTCAGCAATCCAGCCATCCCCGCACACTGCTGCACGCAGGGTGGGAGCAGACCTGCTCACTCAATGAAGTTATTTACAAGCTTCTTTGCAAGCCCTTCCAGTGTTCAGAAAATACTGCAGAAAGTGCAGAGTAGAGAAAGAGGCTACATGGAGCGAAATTAATCTTTCACTGAGAGTAAAACTAACCAGGGTAGGATTCCTTTCCCCTGCTCACTTGAAAATAAGTATTTAAGTATTTTGATCTGCTCACTCAAAACAAAGAGCAGCTAGGGGACACGTATGGGGACAGTGTGTCACAGCACTGCATTTTAAGTTCCTGGACAGCATATAATTTACCTTGATGAGCTGATTGTTCTTCACATAGTGCAAAGTATTGGATCTGTTGCCACCAGCAACAACAGGGGGGTAGGCCAAGATGTCAGCACCACGAGCCCGGCACTCGAATTCAAACTGGAACACAATTCACAGAGGAGGAGACTGTTAGTGCCAATTCAGGTGATTAACTGCCCTGGGGCTATTATGATTCATGTCCTACAACTGTTTTTTTAATTTGTACAACACAAAGTGAAACTGGAATGTGAGTTCCCTAAATGAAAGCAGCATTGAGGGTTTTCCAAGAACTGGAGGAGAAAAAATACAGAATTATCCACTTTTCCATAGAGTGTTTTAAGCCTGCATCTGGTCTCAAGGAAGTTTCTTCTAGTGCAAGCTGTTCAGCACTGTATCAAACATTCATTATGTTGTCATAAATCATAGAACGGTTTAGGTTGGAAGGGACCTTAAAGATCATGGAGTTCCAACCCCCCTGCCATGGGCAGGGACACCTCCCACCAGACCAGGTTGCTCAAAGCCCCATCCAGCCTGGCCTTGAACACCTCCAGGGATGGGGCATCCACAACTTCTCTGGGCAACCTGTTCCAGTGCCTCACCACCCTCAGAGTGAAAAATTTCTTCCCAATACCTAATCTAAATCTAACCTCTTTCAGTTTGAAGCCATTACGCCTCATCTTATTACTACATGCCCTTGCAAAAAGTCCCTCTCTTGTCTTTCTTGTAGGCCCCCTTTAGGTACTGGAAGGCTGCTATAAGATCTCCCTGGAGCCTTCTCCAGGCTGAACAACCCCAACTCCTCCAGCCTATCACAGGAGACGTGCCCCGGCCCTCTGACCATCTTTGTGGCCCTCCTCTGGACCTGCTCCAACAGGTCCACATCCTTCTTGTGCTGAGGACTTCAATCCATGTGAGGATTTGTTCTTATATAAAGTAATTCTCTTAGTTGCCATACAACTTTGTGAATTTTCAAAGATCCTAAATGTGAGCATGACAACAGTTGTGTTTTGCTGTTGTCTTTTACAATGACAAAGCACTGGCATATTTACAGCAGTATCTATTTTCATGACTCTCTTGAATTAAGAAGGTTTGAAAATATGCACTAACCCAAGGTCTGAGGGAAAAAAGAAAAACATCAAAAAAAAGGCACTGTAAGCTTTAAGATCTTTACTCTTCTTGAGTGATGAAGCTGATGAAAGCATAGAAATTAATAAACTTACACTTATAAAGACCCTCTATATCCTCAATATATTAAAACAGGTCTTTTCTGTAATTACCAAAACCATGTGGGACAGAACAGTCCAGGACACGCCCACAAGCAGGTTTTACAATCCTGATCTGGAGTGAAAAATTGATCTGTAAAATCATTTTCTTTACAAGTCAGTACTGCTACTCAGTGCCATGTCAGCACAGGCCCATCTATGTCGTAACAGCAGGTCAAATCCTGCTGATGTTTCTCAAGCAGGCGTCTCACTGCAATGCCTTACAAAATTCCACACCAAATGTGCAGGCCAATTAGTCCGCATTTTGTAACTAGAAGGCATCTACTACTTCAAGATAGCTGTGGTAATCGGATGCAGTAAGAGGCTTTAAAAATAGGTGTTATAACTACTTAAATTCTGTACAAGAGAAATGTATTATAGAGTAAGATAACATTATGTGGTTCCTAGGGACCACAAGAGTTGGGTGAAGAAGAAATGTGCTACAGTGGGAGGCATGTTATAGAGAGATTTTACATTTCTGGTTTCCTGGAAGGATAACCAACATCCAGCCCTTCTATCTCACCTCCAACCATGAAGTACTCACCTTTGCATACAGAAAGGCTTCATCCACTGGGGATTTGCTGGCAAACATTGTCTCTACGAAAGCCTATGAAAAAGAAAGGCCTTTCAGTTAGCAAAGGAGCCTGAACTTGAAAGAAGTTCTTTTTTTTTAACCTGCTCTCTTCTGAGGAAGGCCTAAAATCATCTGGCCTGGAACACGGGAAGCAGAGGCAGCTGAAAATGCACAGTGCTGTCAAGACTAGAACCAATTAAGCTCTGTTTCCCGTGAAATTGTATTTAGGGGCTGACTGACCCTAGTTTTTGAAAAAGGATTAGATGATTGAAGCTGATCCCATGGGTTGGCATTTTACAGGTTGCCTCACCTATGGATTCCCTCGCGTGTAACAGGAGTGCCCTATGCAGCTTTTCCCTCAGAGAACAACAAGCTGTGCCCTTCTATTCTATTTTAATATTTACAAAAACATAATTGCATTTGAGGTTATCTGTCAGATTTGTTTAAAACTGGCCACTGAGTTCAGAAGGTATTTGACGGATAAGGGGGAATTGGGAGTCATACACAGGCAATGTGCTCACAAAAATATTGTTTCCTCAAAACAACAGGATAAATGGGAAAGAAAATGGTGTAGGGAAGTTGGGAAGAGTAAAGAGGCTACCCCTGTTCCTGAATGGATATTGGTTTTAAACAAATCTAACTGCTGTTAGCTTTTCTTCACTGGAGTTACACTAATTGAGAGAAGCAGGTAGTCCAAGCTGTCTTCCTGTTTCTACTTGTCTCGTGGAGGCAGCTGAGCCCAGCTGCTGGTTGACAGACAGCAGTTCAGTAACGGATTACACCAAAGCTATATCCTTCCAGCCCATCTCACTCCACCAACAACCCCCTCCTCTTTCCTCTTTAAAGGAATGTACTGGTTAATTTGGAGAGCACACGACCCCATACCTCTGCTGTCACTCGTCCAGCTATCTTCATCCTTTCAATCTCTGCAGGAGATTTGATCAGCCGAAGGTTCTGCACTAGATGTCGGATGCCCTGGATGTGGTTTTTGTTCCGAGCTTTTATCTCAGCCAGGGGCTGCATGTAGTCAGAGTGCAGCTCTGTGTGCACTGGCTTTTTCAAGTCATACCAAACAATATTTGACTCACCTGGAATACAAAATAAAAGCTGACACAGACAATGATAAATGCAGAAACTTCCTCACCATACTGAAAAAACTCACTCCTCCTAAAGTAGACCTGTTGCTGTATTTGAAAAATTAATTTCCTCTACATCTATGGCATTTACAGACCATATACACACTTTCACTGTCACAGGATACTTGTGATCTCTTCAAAATCTGTACAATTACCAACGCATAGCATGTAGATTTGACAAATCCCCACTTCCATGCAAATATTAAGTTTTATGATCATCACTGAATGTACCTTGCACATATACATTCAGAGTTTGCATATCAAAGTTGCAATTGTATAAGCTAAGCAGCCATTGCACCTAGGCCCTCCTTCTTTGGTGAAAGTAGCCATTAGCAGGTGATTCCAAAAAGTCTCTAATAAACAGGGCATTTATGAAAGACTATTTCCCCTAGTACATCCTCCCTACTTCTGGTTTCTTCATTTCAAGACTGCATCTTCATAACGGTGATTAACTGCTTTTCACAGACATTTCCCCCACGGAAACTTCTGAATCCATTCATACTTTTGACATTCCAAACCTTCAAGAATGATCTACAACTCAAAACTTACGAGGTGTCAAAACCTGCCATCTGATCATTTTATTCAGTCTTTCTTTTATTTGTAAATTATGAAAAATAGCGACTAATCATTCCTACTTATCCTCTCTCCACTAGCCATAACCATACACATCTCTCAAACCCTACCCTCTGTTAACTTTTTCAGACTGACCTGGACATAGCTGGACAAACGTGCTATCTCATACACACGCCATACTTCTGATCATCCTCACTGCCCTTCCTGTGACTTTTCTATTTTCATATAACATTTTTTGGAAACAAAATAACTAGAATCTGAGATGGTATTTAAGACTCCAGCATTCACTCTATTTATTTATGTAATTCCCCCAAGCTGTTGTCCTTTTCATATCATCATAAGCCTTCAACTTCATTTTATAATGCACTTACGTTCATTCTGCATTATAAATAATGAGCCTAGAGAGTGATGTTAGATGCAAAAGAACACATCTAAAAGATGTGTTCTTCTAAAAGCCATGTTCATATTTCAAGAGCAAGTTAACACACCAGTAAAAAAGCTGAGTAGATTAACCACCTCCCTGCGTGGATCATTTTTCAAGTATATTACAAAAAAAATACCTTCAAGTTTCTTATGCTACATCTGGCTCTGGCTCTGTCAGCAAAAATATGACTAAAACAGTAACACAGTTTGCAATGCTCTCTTGTTTATCCTGTTCCTTACATTTCACAGATGTGCACACTGGCATTCACATGGGCACACAAGAAATTCAGAGGGGAGAAAAACGTATTATTTTCAAAACTACATTCCCATTAGTGACCCTCAAGAAGCTAACAAGAATTTCCAATTGTCTTTGTCATACTGTCATACCCCCTGCACCTCCTCCAGTTCTTGAATTCGTGTCACAGACCACCTTCCAAACCCATACCATTCAGACCTGCAAACCATGACTCATTCCCCCTCCATTATTTGTTACCTTTCAGCTTAGCCACCAAGTGCCTGAACTCCTCGATGGTGTAAGCTTCATCTACTCCTGTGAGAGCAATTGCCCCATCCGTGCCCGATCTGGGCCCGTCCCACAACTCTCGGCTTGGATCTCTCCGGGGAACAAAAAGTATGGATTTGTGGGAGGGCAGTGCTTTGCCAGGAATGCTCTGCAGCACCAGGATGCTGTCAGGTTCCTGGAACCCACAGAGATACAGGAAGTTAGTGTCCTGGTGGAAAACGTAGGGGATGTCATTGCTCATATAATATGTGGGGTTGGACAGCAGAATCACTGTGTGGTCCAATCCATCCCAGCCATGGGCTTCCTTCTGGATCAACGCCATCAGTTTGTGTCGGCGAAGAGCATATTCCACTTGTGACAGTCCCGGGGTTACCTCTCCTACAAACACAAAACAAATCAGGTCAAGAAATTCAAGGCACTCGTGATATTTTCCTAGTTGTGTGCCTGATTCCTGCCTACTCCCTTATGCCTTTCATGTGCATGGCTTCCCTGTGGTCCCTCATCAGCCTTTCCATTGCTCTCTCACGCACCTCTTCAGCTTCCACCCCAACAGCACATCCTCACTCAATCTGCTCCTCCATTATGCAAAACCAGAAATTTTTTAACAAATTAGATTTTCTATTACGTATTTCTGTGCAAAAGCAGAAATCACAAAACCTGGTAGATTTAGACAAATATCCAAAACAGATGGATGTTTTCAGAACAACATGTGAAAAAAGGGGAAGGGACAAGGCAAACTGGACTTTGACTGCTGAAAACTGATGGGTTTTACAGCACCTGGACATTGAACAGAGGATTACCTCCTGAGGTTGAGCATTAGTTTACTCAGATAAAGCTAGAATGTCTATTCAAATACACACTAAGTCAACTCATAAAGTAACTAGTTCTAAACCATAAAGTTTAGACAGTGGGAGATCATGTAGAAACACAGACGTTGCAGAGTCTAACCAGTCACAAGATTCCAGACAGAGAGAAACCACGAACTGCAGGCTGGCGGCAGACTCCAATTAAGAGAAGGAATCTTCTCCAAGGCAGATGTAGATTTTCTCAATAATTAACAATTAGGATTTTTCCAAAGTCAAATACCACATTCACAGTGACTCTAACTAAACAAATGATTTCTTAGATGAAAGCACATTTTAAACTGCTCCAGTCACAAGGGATATGAAGTCAGCAATCAAGATACTCACCAAGTTGAAAGAACAACCAACAACAGCTTAAGTATGTATTTTTAAAAAGGTGAGACTTCTTAACTATAATTAATATGGAAGCCTTAATCAGTACTTTGGTTAATACCCTATTTTAGCATAGATTGCATTTTCATACTGTTAACTTTCTACTTCCAGTGTCTCTTTTTCCTCTTTAATATATTAAGCAGTGATGATTCTAGAATAAAAACTGAAAACTGATTTGTACTGAAAGTGGATTCCTGCATGGGTGGGGAAGTTCTATCCAGAATGTTTTTCCTTGAAAGAAAATCACAGATGTTGTAATTGCATTAAATTTTACTCCTTTTCCACACCCTACATCCCCAGCACCTATTTGGTGTAAAAGTCCTTTTTTTTTTTGAAAGAAAAAACTAAAACCACTGAATTTGGTTTATTCATAGATCTAGAAATGACAGAGAACACAGAAATTGTTTTAATGCAATCTGACCCCACATTTCTACAATATTATACCGCTAATTTCCTACACTCCACTGCATTCCAGTCATCTATCACACGGAGTCCAGTGAAGTTTAGAAGCTGCAGTAGGGTGGGACATGGGAATCCCTCTTGTCTTCTGATGGAAGGCCTGGAAATTATCTTTGCCTTAAAAGTATTTGCTTTTAAAAACAGTAATTGCAATAAAATAATGTTGTATTATTGTAAGGAAAACATCGCTCCTTTATTAAATGGAAAATTACTATAGGCACCTACAATTAATCTCCAGTGTCTCAGCTGTGAGTACTTTTAAAATGACAGCCTCATTTACTGTGAGCTCTTAATCAGTGCCCTGAACAACCTAGTCTAATATTGAAGTTAGCCCAGCTTTGAGCAAAGGGTGGACCCGCTAACTTCATGAGGTTCCTTCTGACCTGAATTATTCTACAGTTGAATGGCTAAGTGCATGGCTCATCTGTTCTCTCTGTATACCTACCTGTGGAAAAAGAACACAGAATCAGAATGTTTTCCTGGACGTATTCCTGAATTTATTTTTATTTCCTTTTTATTTTATAGATTTAATCACAGTCATCTCGTACCTACATGCTCATTTTTCATTAATCTCATAGAACTGCACAACCTCAGCTTCTCTTTCATCACTACTGTCTAACTTTATAGCCACAAGGCTCTTTTTCTTCTTTTCCTCACAGCTTGAATACTCTTCAGGTGGCACGCTCTTTAGACAAGTGGTGTCCCTCTATCAATAAATCCCCCCAATCTCCTTTTCTGAATGACACCTTTATTTTGTGTCTCACAAGACACTGGATATGAAGCATTCTGGCAATTCAGGTTGCACAAAGGTCTCACCCTTAACATAAATCATATGTATTTGCAGGACAATAAACTCACAAAATGCCACTGTGGTTCTGAAGTCTGTGACACAGAGCATTCAACAAGAAAAAGGTAAAAAGCTAACACATGAAGCCTATTTTTGGAACCAGTATCACCTCAGGCAAGGAAATGAACTACTAAATATAATTACTGCCTAATGAAGGTAATCATAAACAGCTGAAATCAGAGACACCTGTATGATACAGCAAATCAATACTCTGTCCTAGGCATCTCAGCAAAATAGAGACAAGAATGAATACCAATGATTGGCTTATACAGGGCCTGAACCTAACCTGGTTTGAGAAGGTGTGGGTGTGTGAAGGGGCTGGGCTGGCCCAAATACCGGTTTGGAATCTTCTTCTGCTGGGCGGGCTGGATGGAAAATCTTCGGAGACCACATGACTTGCAAACTGGAGGAAAAAAAAAAAAAAAGCACCACATCAAGGTAAAAGACCTTTCCAGTCAGCAAATTGCAGAGTTATACTCCAGTCATCTGACTCTTGGTAACATTCATTCACCTTATACGATATAAATATCCCACTTTAACTTTTCAATTTGCTGTGTAGCATAATAGTTTTTGAAACAACGTGTACAGAACTTAACTAATGATCAAATATTCATAAAACAGATTGAAAGAAATTAACATATACTAAACCTGACAATCCAGCAAGAAAACCCAAAGAGCTATGTTGGTTTGCACATGCCCAATCCCTGCACTTGCTCTCCCTTCCTTGCTTTCCTCAGACACTGCAGGGCTCAACGTACAATGCCTGTATATCATCTTTTCTTGACTATGTCTTCAAAAATACCACTCGAATGGAACAATTATACAGTTTTCAAGGCCTTTCCAGTTCCACAAGTTTATACAGTGAGGTTATTTTTTTTCTGTATGAAAGATTATTAAGAGTTTCTGTTTATGTATTTAACTTACTTGACATTAGAATTAGCCAAATTGAAAACCGTTCCTCAGCGTACAGTTATGTATCCCTCTTCCAAATTCACACACAGCCAAAGCAGACAAGTTTTAAAGAGAATTACAAATGTGCATTTGGGATCTGGGGGTGTGCACGGTAAGATAAAAGCAAAATTTAAATACAACTGTCACAAACTTTACCAGTCTTGTAATTCTCAGTCACACTTTTTTGTCACAATGTGCCTAGGTACAAAATCAGAGGCACGGAAGGAGATGGTAATCAGTTTCCTAACATCTACCAGCTGATGTTTCCAAAACTGGTTCTCTTTTATGTCACTTACCACGTGCCTACTACAAAAGCAATTCATGCTGCCGTAGCATGGCACTGGATTCTTAGGACAAATGACACCCAACCCTTCACTAGCGTAAGCAAGCGTAACACAAGCAGTGCAGCTGCCTGCTTGCCAGAGGGCTGAGGCTCAGAAATTTACAGCAGAACACACAGACCGTGAATTTTCTGCGGGAGACAATACAATGAGCCACTAAATGAAGATCACTTGTGTGTGACAACCGATAGTCGTAACGTAAAGCATTCACTATGTTGATGACTGACTGGAGTAACTAAGTCTGGAGACTTAGGCAGTGAAACACAACAACCGCCTTTTGTGCAGTTTAAAAAGAGAAGATTTTCATTGATTCTCTCCACCTACAGAGAAAACAAACCGGATACCTTGCAACGAGACAAGGGAACACAACAGGCATTAAATAAAGCAGTTTTTTGAAGACAACAAGAAGCTTTCCACTTTGAGGAACCACTGCGGTTTTTTTTTTAACATAACAAGCCGTTCTTCCCCCGAGTGCAACCCTGCCGGCGGCCAGCCGCTTTCCCGCGCCCCTCGCACCCACAGCGAACGGGCCGCGGGGGGGAACCTGGTGCTGAGGGGAGAAGGGCGGGCTCTGAGCGGATGTAGCACCCAGCGTGCCCCGGGGACGTAGGCCCGGACAGGGCCCCAGCGGGGCTGACCCGCGGAGGAGCAGTACGGCATGTGTGTGTGCGGGTAGCAGTCTCTGACCTGAGAAGCCGCGCAGGCCCCTCACCGCCGCCACAAGCCCCTGGGCCGGAAGACGCGACATCTCCCAGGGAAGAGGCTGGCGTGGGGCCCGGCCCGCCGGGGCCTTCCCTCGCCACCGCGCAGCGCGATGACGCCATCAACGAGCGCCGGCGCCGCTAGCACAGGCGCCCGCGGCGGTCGCCTGTCTCGACGGTAGCAAGGAATGCGAGAAAGAAGCCGAATCACGGCGGAACCGGGGAGAGGCGGGCGGCAACACCAAGGAGTGAAGAAGGGAGGGGGCCGCAACGATGCCGCACATAGCAGGACCCCCCCCCTCGGCGGCCACCTCCGCTTCTAGAACGTTCCCGCCGCTGCGCGGCAGCGGGGCGGGGCCAAGCCGCTG